CGCAGAACACATTTATAACTCAATTCTAAAAAAGTCGTAGTCTAAGGGTTGGAAGAGTAATTACTCTCGTCCTAGAACTGCACATGAAGTCGTAATAATTTTTTATTGGCTGACGTCTCGGCGAGTTTGCCTTCGTAGGAGCTAAAAGGTTGAGAATCGAATTTGCTATTGCCCCACCTAATGTCTGCACACACCTACTAGATCTTCGACACCTGTCTGACTCATCACGTAATCGCAGTGGAGATGAAACACCGTACCTTTATCAGATCCACTGGATCAGTCTAACGACACGCACAGTAAGTAGGCCTTCGAAGCTACGGTGTTCAGAATCCCCGTTAGAAGCCAACCTTAATAGGGAGCCAGCTACCGCGTGACTGACAGGCACTCCTCCCTCCGGCTCATTTGTTGATTCCTGACATGAATCCTAAAAGGGGTTCAGAATGCTAATGTTCACAGTCGATTCGAGACAAGCGACAGAGGTCCTCAACTCGAAATTGCGCCTTGTTTGCGATAATCGTAGGAATCTAAAGTACATCAGCAACCATTAGTAAAATATAGCATTATATTTCACTTCTTACTCATCTTGCCCTTTTCGTGAATGGTTTGGGCTATCTCCTCGCGAAAAAGGCAACGTTGTTTAACAATTCATTGGGAAAATGCATTTATTTTTGGAGTTTCGAGTTTTTTGAGCACTTATTTTAACAAAATCATGCAGGGTGCATAACTCAAGGTAATTGTTCCTTTTACTATGACCAATTAATTTCCAAGTAGAAAACCATGTCCGGCACTAGAGTTGCTTTTTTGTAAAAATTCTTAGAACCCAAATTTCACATGACCAGGGGTAATGGATCGTGACTCTTTTCGAACGTTACCTTTGAAATAGAAGGATGGCAACCTTTTTGTGTATGAGCGGAGAGTAGGCCGATCTTTGTGAGACCCCTCTATTCCAATTCTATTACTATTTTTTTTACAATCACACCGAGTGAGGGAAAGTTGGTCCCCAGCGCGAGTGTGATGGAAAATCACCTTTCAATGATTTTTGCCGACCGTCGAATGATAAATTTTACGATTTACTTTGCGCCTCGATTACTGATTGCATAATAGTTTTGACGGGCATTTTTTTCATTCGGTTGGGATGCATTGGGAGGAACTTTGTGATGTTTGCAAAATTATCCTTGCTTATATGTAGAAATCATCTCCTCTTATTTAATCGTAGTTCTGTTATTCTTGATTATTCTCCAAGTCGATAACAGGTGACAGAATAACGTTTCATTGGAAGTTGTGCGCTCGAGATGAACTGATAGCACTTGGTGCTTGTCTAAGCGATAGCTTATTTAGTTCTGGTAAGAATCTACGTACTCAACCGGTGCTCCTCACGGCGTCTGGTTACCTCAGAGTTGCGACGCATTCTGCTTGCTCATCGATTCACAACGGGGAGCGACACCTAAATCAATTATGAACTATTCCGACGAATGATAGTCTGCTCCAATAAAATTAGAAGTGTATGTATCTGATTTTCAGAGCAGGTAGCAATGACGCTAAAATAAGCGCATTACCTTTACGACACGTACATACAGTAGCACTCAGAAGTCGTCGGTGGAATACTTTTTCCACAATTTTTTTCTGCAGAATAAAATCAGTTCAAATTCTGATACGTTTTAGGTGCAGGCCTTCTCCACTGAGCTAGCATACTAGTGTTGAGAGAGAAAGAGTGAAGAATGTCAAAACCATTTCACTAGGATCTTGAGTATGACCAAATTTCAAATACGATTCTTATTGTAGAAAGCTTACAATTCAACAAGAACAATCTAAAGCATGATGAAAGACATTAAGCAGGTTCAATACGGTGTTACTATCCTTCTGAAGTCGCGTAACTCCTAACGAGGCCTAAGTATGGAACCATTAAATGAATACCAACCCATGTTATTGCCGTCTTAAAGGAGGAATTCACGATTAGAATGAAGGTCGAAGAAAGGGAAACTGACCTAGTTGAGGGACCCACGGACCTCCTGAGGGTGCGAACTGACGCGCAATTCGCATGGAAAAATTTGACCTCGGCGACCTATCATGCCTCAAAGCTGGCGGGTCCGGCGATCTCCGCCCACCGATCATCTGATCACTCGCCGTAGTTCAATACGTGGCGAGTGATTAGATAGCTGAGAGAGCGTAGTGTTGAAGAGGGCACAGCGATGAGAGTCGCATCAATGCTCAAATCAACGGGCAAGGAAGGGGTCCCATTTCTCGGGTTCTGGGCCGTTTCTCATGGTTCTTCCTTCTTTCGTGTACCACTCACCATCCCTAGGTTAATTTGAAATGGGTTGCTTTTTCATCGTGAATTCGTCCTTTAAGTTTTTGGTAACTTCACAAGACTTCGCTTTCGCTTCCTGGTGAAGGTAGACGTATACAGTTAGGTTCATGGAGTGTGGTGCCTCCCCATCTGGCACTTGTACGGTACTACTTCGTCTTCTAGCAAGAGAGCGACCAAAAGCATCGCACCTCTACTGTGAAGGAGTGGTTTCGACAGCATGGCGCGCTTTCAACGAAGGGAACAATTCACACCAATGTCCCGAGCGCCATCGAAACATTATGGGAAAGAGTAGGGATACCTTTGGTGGAAATAAGAGCCGGGAATATGGGCGAGAAACTCGTCAAATTTCAAGAGAAGTGGAGGAAGCTGCCCTTGTAGACAGTGCATTCAATGACTGATTCCTTACTTAGGCCTTGTTAAGATTTCAGTAACTCCAGAAGGTTATCAACAAAGTATTTAATCTGCCTGGAGTTCTTTATCATGGGCACGTCAGCAGTGGCAGAAGAAGCTTGGAAAGGATTCGCTGAGATAGAGGGATAGGAGTGAAGAACGCTGAGGGAGAGAGGGTTCTGGACCTGGCTACAGCCCACGATCTGGCAGTCTGCAGCACGTTCTTCGCGAAAAGGGAGACTCAAAAGGTAACCTACAGCAGTGGAGGGAGACAGACGGAAATCGACCATGTGCTGGTAAGAAGATCATCCCTCAAAACTGTGAAGGATATCAAGGTCTCCCCGGCGAAGAACTGGCTTCCCAGCACAAACCCCTTCTGGCAGACATTGCTGCGGTACCCTCCATATGAACACTATCAAGAAGACAAGAGTAAAAACCGAACAAGGAACCCATGGCGGAAGCTGCGCCGAGCAAGTGACACCTCAAAAGAAGGATGATAGAAACCTGTTCTCCAGCTCCACAAGGACTGTCTAGAGGAGCTGGAGTAGGCTAAGATCATGCTACGATGGCGAGGTAGGTACATACTGGCCCGAACACGAGGCAGATTTAGTGGAGACAAGGCAGTATGGTTCTGGAACGAGGAAGTCCAGCGAGTCGTGAAACAGAAGAAGGAGGCCCAAAAGCTGGCAGAAGACCCGGAAGCCCGGAGGGCCTCGCCGCTTACAAACCTGCGAGACTTGCAATGGCTGACGAAGAGCATGGAGATGATACGTACGAGAAGTTGGAAAGCCGAAACGCAGAGAAGTTCGTCTTCAGGCTGGCTAAAGCCCGGCATCGGGCTACCCAAGACATCAGGGTGGTGAAGAGTGTAAAGAGCAGCAGGGGCACCATTCTGAGGAACCGTCAAATATGTGCGAGTCCTCCCCTGAGCTCGACGTCGCCGCTTAGGGTCTCGCTATGGGTCATACAGAATGTACTCTTACATGTTGAGATTAGTTGTTACTCTATACTATTTCTATATGTTATTCTATTCTTTTCTATATGCTAGTTATTCTATACTCGTCCGAGTTTTTTTTATTGTGCAGGTTGTCCGACGGGGCTCCATGGAATCCAGTGACGTCACTTACTTACTTACTTCCTCATGTCATTTACTTTCTAACATGTGAAATAGGGTAATGTGCTAGCGTATTTATAATGTTCCGCACTAGAACAATCATTGATGCCATTATGCATTGTACCAGTGCAGTGAGGGACTCGAGGGGACGAAGTTTACTTGGCACCTGAGGGAAGAGAGAGTTCTAATTCGTGAGGATAGTTTTCATCATGAACTGCTTAGTAGTTGCGTCTCACGGCCACCTTGTTTTCGAGTTGTTAGTTGATTTATTAGCACTTGTAGATATTTCCATAGACATAGAAATCTGATACGGAGGTATCCTTGTGAGGATGACTTGTGCTGAAAGTGAGAGCGCATACTTGTAGATGATAGGCCATGGGATATGTTCATTCTTTCTGTAAGAGATGCCGTAAAATGTAATTCAGTTCCATTGGAGATAATCCGCTTACAGGAGCGTTTGCGTTACTGTTGCGAATCAATTTCTTGAGGCGCTAGTGTACTCAAAAGGGGCATGCCCACGCTGACTGAGCCTTGGAGAAGAGGGTGAACTTTGAGGGTAATGAAAATTGCTTACACATCCCCCTGGTCCCTACTCCCGAAGCCTAGTTCTAGGGGACCAGCAGGGGAGGAGCATGATGGCCTGGCGCTTTTATTCGCCAACCTTGTGTGGGATTTTACAGCTTCTGCGTTGGAAGATAATAGCAGTTCTTTACGTAAGCTGTGAGCAAAAGCTTAACTATTGCGCTATCAATGGGAAAACTGTTCTCCACGATTCCAATCATTTTGCATAAATGTTATGTTCAGTGTTCGCTTCCACTTTTGCTGATAGGAGAATTTTTGGTCTGATGTCCACTACCACAAATATTCACTGCTGACATCTCGAAATATATGCAAAAAACTGCTAGACTAGATATAAGTCATCTAGTCTTATTATTTCCTCTCATCACAAGTTCTACCCGTAGTTATTCAATCGAAAACAGGGTGCCAACGATAGCGGAACTAGCCGTGAGAGTACTGTAATCGCCTTGCTGTACGCAATCGCACGGGCGCAGGGTGGGATAAATACGTAACATCAATTTAACATCCGTCAAATTGATGTTACAATTTGACGCTCCTGTGCTGTCACTTGGTTGACTCTAGTACTTGTCCGTGGCAGTATTTAAGAATCTTCAGTGATCACATTTGGTCATGGCCGGCAATTTTTGGCAAAGTTCACATTATGATCAGTGGATATTCGAGAAACAGGAGCTGCTGAGGATGCGAAGTGAAGATTTGAAGGTGAGGCTTACTTTCAGGTTGCACGGTGTGGTTCACAAGGACAGGCCCACCGCTGATCAGGAGTGGATCCTTAGGTTTCCGCAACAAAAAATGTTTTGCGCAGCGAAACGCAAAAAAGTAGCTTCCTGTCTTGTGAACCACACCCGGTTGCACTTATAGTTCGCAGTCGTCAAAGTGCACAAGTAGTGAGAGGTAGATGCGTAGACTACTACAACGTCAAGGTTTATATGTATGCATCTTGTTGCACTAAGAAAGTCGAATGCATAATCCACCCTGCTAATGACATGATATGATACGGGCATATTCCTCCCTTCGTTCGCTAGCATCCTACCCTTTGGTTCCAACTGTGCAAAAAAAAACCATCAAAATTGCATATTTGCTTACTGTTGCCTGAACCCACACCCTTAAAAAATGCAGTCCGAGTTCTTTGGCAGGCTTTTGAACCTAGTTCGTTGTGGGACCATGCTGCATTTTCCCTTCAACATCATTTGGTTCTGGCACTTCTTTGGGCTGCACGCTGGAGGGATTGCTCCGGACCGCTCAGTGTCGACAGTAAGTCAAAGTCGTGTGAATTCAAGTTAATGTTAGCTGAGGGGTCCAACTGATTGTTGAACGTTGGTCGCAACTAAATAAAGGTGATCTCAAACGTTTAGGGGCTTCTGTTTTTTTTTTCATGTGGCACACATATTATGTGGTGAGAAAATGTCTGCGAAAAACTTGGAGCAGACTTTCAAATAAACCAAAGCTAAAACTTGTCATACGCTCAATCTGGCAGCAACAATGAATGACTTCGCTGCTGAGCGTCGACGACGATTCTCGGAAGTAAGGATACGTGTTCTACAAGGGTTTATTTATTTATTTATTTATTCACAGGTCAAACATGACAGTGAGAAATATCAAGTTGCCTTTGTTTTGCAAGAGATATTGGTTCGGTGGGGTTATTACGAAGCGTTTAAAGATCAACCTGTCCAAATGGTCGAGTCATAAGAAAAAATCGTCAACCATAACGACGGAGTCAATGGAATCTCACCTCTGCAGGGGTTGCAATTCTTTGTACAACGCCAAACATGCTTCTTAATGTCACTACGATAAGGTTATCCTGTTATAAATAATATGAGAGAAAGTAAAAACTATCTAATTGTAAGTGCTTTTTCTACTTGTTCGGAGCAGGGCTGACATTAATAGTAATCGTTAGAAATTGGCAGATTTTTCAGCAACGCAAAAATATAGTATAGTATACAAAATAGTTAACATTGGGAAATTACGACAGTTAATCGCTAAACCTTTCTATGTACATTCTATGCAGAGAAGGCATGTGACATATGTATAAAGAATTGTCTTTTGCCTTTATTTCTCGTTTCGTTAAACTAGCTCTTAACCGCACTGGAAGCTAACTCATCAACAACGCGCGTGCCCGCCTTGACAACGCCGAAATAAGCGCCAGGCGATGTTGGAAGGAGAATGAAGCATGGTTCCGCAACGAACGAGGTTTGGAAGGTGAGCAGCCTGCCAGAAAACTCGGACTGCATTTTTTCAGGGTGCAAGTTCAGGCGAAATTTATTTGCATCAACCATGCATCATGCACCATTTATTTGCATCAACCATGCATCATCCTGGTGAAGACGGCCCCAGTAGGAAAGAGCGTGCTCGTGCATAAGTGTTAAGCTCATGGTCGTGCATGTCAGTCCGCTCCCTTGAGGGGCCACATGTCCTTCCTCAAGGTGAGTTTCTCCTTATTCATCCTTCGATGTTATCGCAGAATTCCATTAAGGGTTCGTGCTATACTTTGCTACTTGCAGTTTGAATGTGGTGTGGATACGTGCATGATCGTGCAACCTCATGATCAATACACATATTCCATACTCGAAATGCAAAAGTAAATCAAGACAGTCTTTGCAGATTTACACTGAAGAAGAGTATCAAAAGTTAATGATCTTCTGGGCTAATCTAATACAAACACTTGCCGTCGAGGGAATACAGCAGGGTCACCCAAAAACAAGAATGCAGGTCCTTAAATTTACTAGTATTTCTATTCTGTACATTCTACATTTTTATCTGCTGGCGTGGTTTCATCAAAAATTAGTTGCTTAGGTAATCGCCACTGCGATTGTTTACTTCAAGCGTTTCTATGCTCGGCGCTCTTATAAAGACGTGGATCCGCTTCTCATTGCTTGTGCTTCGGTTTTTCTGGCGTCGAAGGTAGGTTTTATTGTAGAGAGTTATGACACCGTTACAGCACTTCTGTCCGATTGCTGTTATTATCTTCTTTGGTACACATATTCTTATAAGTTTTTAACTCAGGTTGAAGAACACGGTCTCATGTCAATGTCTAATCTTATCAAGACAATCCCTAACTGTTTGAAAAAGTGGCCTAACCTTACCTACGACGCGTCGTCAAAAAATAGTGGTCTATATGACGCTGAGTTTATCTTGGTTGAAATGCTCGACTGCTGTCTCGTAGTGTACCACCCCTATCGACCTCTCACTACTATGCTGCAGGTTGGTCTCGTTATTGCACGGTAGATCGTCAATATTTGCAGTTCTTGTTTTCTTGCAAGTTGATCGTGTTAGTCTTGTGTGGCCTGATGCCTTCTTAGGTGGATTTTCTCATTGAAAAAGTCATTATTCCTTTTCACAAGAATGCTAATTAATGGACAAACTGAAAGTTCTAGAGACTCGCTTATAGCTTTTTCTCGTGCGGGTTCAACAGCAGAGTGTTTTGAAGAATCTATGCAGTTCAAGCTGCGCAAAGTAGCTGCTTTCTATCAGTACTACAAGCGTCACGTAGTGCATAAATTTCGCTAGTACGAATATCTCGATGTTGATGTGACCATAAATTGATTGATTACACCTATACAATTTTTCTCGTGCATTCTTTGAGTTAAAGGAAGCGACCACGCTAACTTCCACGCTGGATTTGCTACCCTCGCGTTATCAATCGATAAGGTGTGAGGCAGTAATTGTTGGACGAGTGTAAGCCCATGGAAGATATGATACGATGAGATAAGAAGGTGCGGCTGCTTGATAAGAGGTGCACTCCAGAATGAAAACGGGACGATAACGATAACGGTATCATATCTAGCACGCTCTTATCGCACCCCTTTCCACATCGATAAGTCTTGGTTTTTGCTGAACGGAAGTGGATTTCGGCGCCTTATCACTCCGTTGATAAGGCGCCACTGCCACTGAAACTTCACGTGTTGTAACACTGGGCAGGACCCCTATCCACTCCAGTACACAGCTTCCTTATCGTCCCTATGAGAATTATCGTGACCACTTCCTTTAAAGGAAGTGGTCACGATAATTTTCATGGGAACGATAAGGGAAGCTATGTATTGGAGTGGATAGGGGTCCTGCCCAAGTGTTAGAACACGTGAAGTTTCAGTGGCAGTGGCGCCTTATCAACGGAGTGATAAGGCGCCGAAATCCACTTCCGTTCAGCAAAAACCAAGACTTATCGATGTGGAAAGGGGTGCGATAAGAGCGTGCTAGATATTTATTTAATTTATTTATTATTTATTTTATATATTTTATTTGAATTTATATTTATTTATTTATTTATACGATACCGTTATCGTTATCGTCCCGTTTTCATTCTGGAGTGCACCTCTTATCAAGCAGCCGCACCTTCTTATCTCATCGTATCATATCTTCCATGGGCTTACACTCGTCCAACAATTACTGCCTCACACCTTATCGATTGATAACGCGAGGGTAGCAAATCCAGCGTGGAAGCCAGCGTGACCGCTTCCTTTAAAAGCAACAACCCCAGATCAAACTGGTGGGGTAACACCGAATGGCAAACGACG